TTGGATTGTTGGACGGACACTCTTCTAAGTCTATTCCCCCTCCCTTCTAAGTCCACACGAGTGAGAGACGATCGGAAGGAAGGAGGATAGAGGTCAATTGGAATGGAACCAAGAGAAAGAATGTGGGCAAATGGATGGCCGGTCGAGGGAATTATAGGAAGGGGGTACTTAGGAAAGGGGAGGTAAAATAGGGAGACCTTGATGAGGGGTTTGAAATAATTATCATATAGGACAAAGGTTGACCTGACCAAAAGGATCGGTTGGTGCCTTTTTATGAAAACAGGGGTCGGGTGCTGAAAACAAGATGGTGCGATGGTTGTCTTCCCTGATCTATACTAGCGGTCCGGAAATGCCAGTAGATGTAAAGGATGGGGTATCGGTCGTCCTCACAGAAAATGGGACGTGAGCGGACCTTGAACCAACGTATCAAACGGTAATGTTGGAAGGAGAGGATGCTTTCTTTTAGATAGAAACAATATGGACTAATGTCAGCTTGACGAGGTTGTCACCAAGTTTAATGGATTTGGAATTCCGAGGGACAGTGGAAGCCCGAGGGTGGATCAACTTGTCGCAAGATGGGGAGAAAGCTATGATCATAGAGTTGGCACTCGGGAATACGCCGGACGAGTTGTTTAGGAAGGCAGAAACAGAGGTTGTATGGGTTGCATGTCAACGGAGGRAAATRGAAATGGAAAAGGTAGACGTAYGGGTGGAACTTGGGGATAGAGGAAGCATGAGGTGATCCGTAAGAACCATGCGATGTGTGCTGCCCCCCTTCTTGGTGGATGCGGTTTTCGGAACTCGGAGCAGGCTAGTGCGGATATGCGAGTCCATGACGAACCTCGGGCTATACCAATGCGCTAGGCAATTTTTTTTTCGGTTATYAGTAGAGATGGGGCCGTTCGAGGGGAACTGGGCGGAGGAGCTGACCGAGATACTAAACTGCCTTAGCATAAACAATATTTTTGTCCCTAGCGTTGTGCATTGGGGGATAGCCTACAGGAATGTGGCAATAGGGGAGACGTTTCTAGATGGGGTAAGGGGGTTGGTATACGACGAGGAGGATGACTTCAGTGATGAAGACGAAGATGAAGAGATAGAGGACTGGGACTTCTAAGAGTGATGGGGTAACTTAACTTAGGAAGGACGGGTGGCCTCATATTGTGCAGGAAAGTGAAAGATGACTAGAGAAGAAAGGATGATGGAATACACCTTCAAAGGTTGGGAACCACGGCGACTCAGAGGAGGAATATAAATGCCTATACCAACAGGAAACGGATGGAGAGGGACCACGTGCGACTGGATTGGGTTTGAGGTTGCCCGRAAATTGTCATATGTATGGATAGAACGGATTTGGAACCYGATAAGGGAAGAAGAAGGTTGGGATGATATAGCAGAAGGCAAGGTAGAGTCAGTAGGAACGATTGTCCTTTCCGAGGATGGATGACACCTGTTTTGCACTATGTTAGCAATGGGACAGGACCCGATGTGGCGTCTAGGGGATGCAGAGGCCCGAACCCGARAAAAAGGCAAGTGGTTCGCCAACGAGGGGTGGGACAAAGTCAGTAGCAGAGTTGTGATGGGAGGATGGAAGGAACTTAAGCCTCCAAGTCTACGGATAACGGCTTGGGTACCAGAGTTCATAGCCGAGTGGTTTGGAGGGTTWGAACACATTTTGGAAGTAGCCGACTCCATGGGAAAGGTGCATATAGAATGTGTCTGGTTGACCTAGGAGTTTTATAGGCTCTCATTGAAATATGGGCTCTTCTACAGAGATAAAGCCGATGAAGTCATCATCGTCCTAAAAATAGGCAGGTATGACCGCCTAGAGGTAGAGGCGGAGTCTTGGGACGCCATAGTTAGTCGGGAGGCGGCGGCCGCACCCTCCTACGTAGACGACGTCTTTAAACTATTTGAGGTGTTGTGGTTCGACTAAACGAGGACGAGGGATCGATCACCGCGAAAAGGCCTGAGTGTGGAGGGTGCTTGTGAATTGAGGTGTAACATAAGAAAGGGAGTGTGTACATTAGGCCGTAGATGGTCCATAAGGATTGAAACAAGGGGGAAGTGGCAGCAACTCGAAAAAGGGGGCCGGGGTAGAACTGTATGTGTATGAGTCGTGGATAGCGGCAAAAACCTGTGTACGATAAGTAGGGAGGGTTGAAAGACTAAAACACAAAAGGCATGGAATCTTGGTGGGTGCAACAATCGGACTAAGAAAGCAGGAAAGGAGACATTGCGAGATGGCCCGGCGAATGACGTTCTGGGAGGATAGACCTCGTGGGATCCTGCCACCAAGAATATCAGAAGGCAGGGTCGAAATAAGCCTGCCGGCAAGAAATACGGTAGGCAATCCGGTAATGGACTGGGTGGGGGTAGAGTTGGTGGAAGATACGGTGTACCTAGTAGTGGAGCTGGAATGGCRTGCGAGAGGGGAGTTCGGGGGCATAGACTTGAACCGCACAAGGCGTGTACATGTGACGGAATCCTTACACCTGTCGGAAGAGGGATGGCGGACCTTTGGGATTGCTTTGCCTTCCGGGGATGACCCCGTGCGAATGTTCGAAGGGGCATGRCAAATAACCTAGCGGGAGGGGTTTGAGTTTGCAGACCCGGAACGAGATGACGTAACGGCGGAGGTAAAAGTCGCAGCGGCGGGGGTTTTCGAGCTGGCAAATGAGGTCATACGGATGAGTCTACCACCCTTCCTGCTAAGACAAATGGGAGGCATAGAACGAGTGGAGCAGGCGGTGAYTGTCGTAACTAGGCTAAATTTTGACGAAGCACTAATATATCGAGAATACTATCGGGCCTTCCTAGAGATGGGGCYTTTCGGGGACGAACAAGGGCGCGAGGTGCTTTGCATTCTTCGAGCAGCGGTAAATACTAGGCCAGAAGTCCCGCAAATAAGTGATGAGACCATGTGAAGAGTCATCCGGCGAGAGGTAGGCCGCGGCGTGACCTACATAGATGATCTCTACCGGCTGTACGAACAGCCAGAGGAGGCTACTGCTTCCGAGGGTATAGAGGGATAGTTGGGACTAGAAAAGAGAAATGAAAACAAGAAGGGCAAGGAAGCCAGTAGGTGGGCAGATTCTGAAGATTGGATGTGACCCTTTCTATGTGAACTATGCAGGGAATCACCAAGGTAACAATGGCAGCAAGACGTGAGTGAGTGGAACGCCAGCCCCGTGTGTGAATGGAACGCCAGGCCCGGTACCCCGGACAACCCTGGAACAACGGTGGACGATGGGAAGTATCCCTCCCGTCGAGTTCTACCTATCCGGGGTTCGACATAGAATTGCGGGCCGTGACTTTGGGAAGGGACGTCGCCTTCATGTTGGTAGAATGTCGGTGGACAGGGATGAGACTGCACCGAGGACCCGGAGACGATCTGTTTTCTAATATGGAAGTTATCGGGACCATGTATTTGCCTGAGATTGGCTGGCACTCGTTGGGGTTAGAGATAGCACAAGGTCACGAGCTGGCACCGATCTTTCGAAGGGTCGCCCGGACGTTGACCCGGATAGGACAATCGGTCAGGGGAAGAAGGAACGTGGGCTTACTTACCCGGGTGGAAATGGGAGGTTGGAGGGAGTTCAGGGCACCGACCACACCGCTGAGATGCCGAGTGCCTCGTTTTATGATAGACCTCGTCTTCAGAAGCCTCGCGAGGGTGCGGGAGCTGGCAGACTCAACGATAGTCTGGGCAGGCCACTTTCCCTCCCCTACCATTAGGATGTTCTACAATGTCGTTGTGGAGCATGGGCCGTTCTGGGGAAACAGGGCCCACGAATTACTAGAAGTCATCCACATCCTGATGTTTTGTGCGCCCCGGCTAGACAGACAGGGTGCGAACGCATAATCCAAAGGGAAATCGAGATAGGGGAGAATTATCTAACGGGGGTGGCTCAACTATTCGAGGAGCCTATCGAACCAGAAGAGCCGCGAGGGCGAGAGCGGGACGAGCATCCTCAGGCGGGTCAATAGGGCAGATCGAGTATAGTTCGCTGCGTACGGAAGTTCGCCGATGGGAATAAGAAAGGGGCCTCGGACCTGGATGCCTAAAACCCACTAGAAAAACAAAGAGGGGGGGGGCAGACTCCTAATGATTCACCATAACCCTGAAGGTCAAAAACAGGAAACACTGCTCGGGAAGACTTCCCCTAGCAGGATGCCTAACCCGGACTCCCTCACATCGGCCGACGGGACAAGGACACTACAAACGAGCTTGTGATAAAGGAAGCCCAGTCACGTTCATAGCTCGGCTGGGCGGCAGGGCGAGTCGTGGCTCCTCCTTAAGGAAGGGCAATCAAGGAAACGGGGATAGGAAAGGAGGCTATAAAAGATAAGCCAACAGAGTTGGGAGCCTAGGGAACCTAAATACCTCGCATTGCGTGTGTCCTGGGAATTTTTTGGCTTATGCAGAACTAGGCAAAATGGCAACGGAGGAGGAGACAAATAACCGTAAGAGTGAAGGAGAACCAGGCTTAGGAGGCAGTGCCGCACAAAACGAAGGGGGGCAGAAGGAGAGAGAATCGATAAATCCGGATGGTACCAAAGGGAACCGGAAGGAAATCTCCACAGGAGAAAGTTCGGGGAAAGCCAGGGGAAGCAGGCAAGGGACTCAGGGGACCAAGGAAGGCAGAAATAAGGATAGGACAAGCCCCTGAAACTCGGAAGGAGCCATGCCTAAGAAAGTAAAGGTCACGGATATGAGGCGCAAACTAGCCGAGATAGAAAAGAAGACCGCGGAATACAAGGAAAGATTGATTGAGGAAATGATGACTGGGCACGAAGAAGGTCCTCTGCAGGAGGAACCCCAGAACGAACGGAAAGCCAGCCAAGGTGGAACTGGACAAGGGGATAAAGGTAGTCACCGTGGGGGAACGCCAAGCAAGAGAAGGAAAGAGAGAGAGAACTCTCCGGGGATGGAAGCAAAAAAGGCTACGACTCCGCCAGCCATGGATAGTAGGGCTAACCGCCTGCCGATCACGCCAGCAGTAGCACGAGGATGCGAAGGACTTTGGAGCCTTAGCGAGAGAGTGTTGGGATGGTTTGACCCGGAAGGAACTATGAAAACCAGGAAGGGACAGAAGGCCGACAAGGAAAGTCCGGATAACAGTATGGCAGGCGAGGCCAGCAGCTGTGAGGGCGGCCTTAAGAAGATAGTGTCGTCCCTCGCGCGAGCACTAAACAAAAATCAAAGCTACCTAGTGGATGCTAAGAAAAAGTTGACGTTTGATGGGGCGAACATCACGAAATTCCTGATAGATTACGAGAATCTGGCTGCATTGTTGAAATGGACCGAAGAAGAGAAGATGGACCACCTGGGGCAGCATGCGTCTTTGAGCCTAGGACGGGACATAATTGTCATTGTGGCCGCGAGCCGGTCTTGGAAAAAAACCCGAGATGTGATGATGATAAAATATCTGGCAGCAGAGAAGATGGCAACGGAGGCCGATTTAGCGACAGTCCTGAGGAAGAACTTCGCAACGTAAAATGACTTCCTACGGGAGTTTACTTTGGTAGCACTAAGGATCCCCGGGGTCACGGACCGGATAATGAGCAAGTATTTCCTCAGGCAGTTCTCCGAGTTTGTCAAAGACAAGATCTGTCAGCTGACCAATAGACGAGCAATATCGTAAACACGCGAGATGTTGATTTTAGCACGGTAACAGATCGGGCTGAGAAAATGGTAGTAACAGACATGTTGGCCTTGCTCAAGGAAGGGGAGGTCATAGACTTGACCAGTAGGATGGGCGACAAGGTAAAAAAGGGGATTGAAAGCCTACACGAACGGGTGCACGGAGTCGACAACAAGATTGAAAGGATGGAGAGCGTGCTACTAGTTATGCAGGCACAAGTATCCCGTCCCCCCCTCCCGCCCCAGGAAGCAGTAGTTCCACCAGGGGTAGCCAATCGTGGATATGGACGCAGAGATCCTGCCAACGAACAATGCAAATACTGTACCGCAGTGGGGCATTTTGTGCGGTCATGTCCAAAGCTAAACCATGACATACTGAAAAGGAGGTATACCAGGTCATTAAAGGGGGAGATATTTGGACCACAGGGGGAACGGGTGAACTGGAACTCGCCAGGAGGAATGCGGAGAGCCCTCGTCATGCTCAACGGGTTAGAAATAACAGCCATAAAAGTCGAACCGGTGGGCGAGATCATTTGGGATCAACTCCGGGGGCGCGGGCCTCAGGTCAACTTCATTCTGGAAAGCAACGGACGGGATAGGGTAAACGCGACTACTCAACTAGGGATAGCTGGGAGAAGGATTATCCGTGACGCCGTAATGGAGGAGGTTGCTGGAAGTTCAGAACCCCAGGCAGAGCCATAGGCCGAGGAACCGGAAAAGTTCTCTGGGAAGCCTAGGGAAGAGGAGCTTGCGGACAAGGTTACCGCCGCTAAGAAGAAGTTTTGGTATCAAATCCTGATCTTAACCTTGCCTGAGCTCGATGATACCATTAGCAAGTTACTAGGAACCATGGTGTTGGTGTCTTTTCAGACAATGCTGCAGGCTAGCCCTAGGTTGCTCAAAGGGCTCAGACAACTGTTGACTCGGAGGCGAGGAGGAAATAGGCGACAACCCCGAATTACCGGAAGGGGAGAGAGAGGAGAAAGCTCCGCAAGAAGTGGCTTACCTTCAGAGGAGTGGAGGATCTCGAAAAAGTTTTTGCGGACATTTGTTTGAGCTTGCCCGACCGGGAGGGCGGCGAAGTCATGAGATCACCACCCGGGACAAAGCTTAGCTTTCATGCACTGCCCGTAGGGAAACTGAAAATCCAAATCGGGACTCATCATACCGACGCGTTAGTAGACGGGGGAGCAAAAACCACTCTCATAAGATGAGATTTCGTAACGATCACAGGATGTACGGTAAACAAGGAAGGAACAGGGAGCATCCGGGGAGCTAGCGGGGAAATCCCGTTCGCTGGGTACGTCACGAAGTGTGTTGTGAAGGCAGGGGTTAGGGAATCAATCTGGTCGTTTCAGCGGATGAGAGTAATGGAGGAAATGAACCACGATATAATCCTCGGGAGACCGTGGTGCACGAACGTGGAGATGATAGGCATGCACTTGCACGATGGCTCGTACATGGTAGACATAGAGGACCATGTGACCGGCCGGGGAGAGCTCCTCCGACTCCTTGGAACGGGAGGAGAACCCCCGAAGGGGAAATTGGCAATATGGTCCCCGTCGTTCGAGGATAGCACAAGAAAAGGGGCTTTCGCATGGATGGAGGGTATGAGAGAAAGGGTAGAAATCATGATTGAGGAAGCATTCAACAAGAAGGAGTGGATCAAGATGGGCCTGCCCCAGAAGAAGAGGAGGCAGGAGGACGAAGTCCTAGGTGTTATGGTAGCGGAAAAGGAGTCAGAGGTCGAACTTGGTGCTAGCCTGCCCAAACGGAAAGAAGTACGCATAGACGTGCCAGAAATTGCACTCGAGATCCCCGATCTATTACAACTCATCAAGGCCCTCAGATATCACAAGGTAGGAGTGAATTTGGCAGCTTTGGCCAAGTTCGAAAGAGAGGTGCAAAAGGGATATTGCCTGAATGGAAAACTAGTTAGTATGCAACCACGAGTCGTAGAGGCGACGGGGGCGATTCCGAACTGTTCATTTTTTAGGAGAAAGATCCCGGAAGGAAGTATTCGAAAGTACAAGTCGGTAGGGAAGAAAGCAAAACCGGTCTCGATCCTTCTAGAAGCATCAAAGGAAGAGGCTATTGAGAAGGAGGAAGAGGTTCATCGAGTAATCCGAGAAAGAAGGACGACGGAGGGACACCGGATACCAGACAATGAAGATAGGGATAGACGGGTTCTTAACGGAAGAAGAAACTCGCCTGATCAAAAGGATATGCCATGAGTTTCACCTGGCATTTGCCTCTAGTGATCACTAGAAGGGACGACTGGATGTGAAGTTGATCCCTCCGATTAGAATCCACATGGTAGAACATGAGTATTGAAATGACAAGGGGTCATCCTATGAATTTGGGATAGCAGGAGACGTAACAGACCTCCTCCGAATAAAGATGGACTCCTTCGTTGCAGAGCCTACAGCATCGCCATACGCAAATCGGTGGTTCGTCTTTCGAAAGCCTAACAAGACACTAAGGTGGATTCAGGACCTGCAAAAGTTGAATGCGGTAACCATTCGGGATGCTGGCTCGCTACCTCAGGCTGACTTATTAGCAGAATCGCACGCTGGTTGAAGCATTTACTCCCTGATAGATTTGTACTCAGGGTACGACCAGCTTCCATTGGATGTTCGGGACAGGCCATACATTGCTATGCACACCCCCGTAGGCCAACTACAGATGCAAGTGACCCCTATGAGATTCACAAACGTGGTGGTCGAAGCGCAACGCATGATGCTCGCCGTGGTCGGGGACATGTTCCCAAAAAAATGTGAGTCTTACATCGATGACAATCCGATCAAAGACGTGCAGGAGAAGGACGAGACGGAAGTCCAACCAGGGATCCGACGTTTTGTATGGAACCACCTGCAGGACATCAAGGACTTACTCCGCCGGTTCCTGGTATACAACATTACGGCTAGTGGACCAAAGAGTATCCTAGCGGTACCGGAGGTAACTATACTAGGATTTCGTTGCGGTGCTTACGGCAGGAAGCCGGATCCGACAAAGACCGACAAGATATCACAGTAGTCGACACCACTGCGCACGACGACGGAGGTAAGGGCATTCCTAGGCGTAGTCGGCTTTTGGAGGATCTTCATTAAGAACTTTGCCAAGATTGCTGAGCCTATCCGGGCTATGATCAGGGAAGAAGAAACCATGGATTTGACGGAGGAGCGAGAAGGAGTTGTCCAAAGGCTCAAGGACATATTGACATCTGAGACAGTCGCCCTGTCCGCACCTTGTTTTAATGACTAAGTGGGACGAACCATTATCCTAGAAACGGATGGAGGACCTTTGGCCATAGGAGGTGTGTTGATTCAAAGGGATGAGGGAGGAAAATAGAGGCCGATTAGGTTCGAAAGTAGAACCGTGAACTCCGCAGAACGGCGATACTCGCAATTCAAGAAGGAAGTCCTAGCCATCCTGCATTGCCTTAAGACCTTTCACGCCTACCTATTTGGGAGGCGGTTCATCTTAAGGATCGATCCGACGAATGTCGCAGAGGCTCTAAAGAATTACAGGCCTATAGATCCGACGGTAGGGAGATGGGTAGGATTCATCTGGCAGTTCGATTACAAGATCGAACGGATTGCTGGAATCCGCAACAAGGCAGATGGGCTGAGTCGGGTTTGCATCACTCCCGAAGGGATGGAGGATGCAGAGCCCATAGACGCATTCCTCGAATACGAAGGAGGGACTCTGGCGGTGGATAACGAAATGATAAGCGAGGGATGCACATCGGGATAACTATTGATCCATGCTTTGGAGAAGGGGCCACCCGCCGTAGTAGCAGAACTTAGAGAAGGACCAGTTACCACTCGAGAGCGCAGAGAAGAAAAGGACTCATTGGGAGCGATAGTATGATCAAAAGAGGAACTAATAACAATGGCGGTCGAGGGAGCCCGGAAAACAGTGATGAGCTTAGTGGAATCTTGGGAAAGGAAAGAGTTGCAAAGGGTGGTAAACCAGATGCAGCGAGAAAAGGATGGGGGCAAGGAAGGAGAGGAGTTTTTCTATGTTCAATCATACGAAGGGTCTTTCAGGAGGTCGGGCTGTTATTGGTAGGGAACAAACAACCTACGGAAGTCAGTATTAAAGCAAGAGAAGAAGCCGAAAGGTACGTCCTAAGGGGCGGGCATTTGTTCCGAAGGGAGGAAGGTGCTATGCCCAGAAGGGTTGTGTGYGGAAGATCTAGKCAAGYAGACGTTATCTAGGCAATGCACGATGGGTTGGCTGGAGGTCATCGGTCGTCCAAAGGAACGCTTGCAAAGATGACGCCACTCTATTATTGGCCAGGCATGGCAGGCATGGTCGCCATATACTGCCAGACTTGCCTTATTTGCCAAGAACGAAGCTCGGTGCGGGTCTTCGAGCCGCTTAGACCAACGCGGGTGCTAGGGCCGGGGCATCTGGTCCACCTCGACCTTGCGGTCATGCCTGTATCAACGGATGGGTACAGATATATCTTGGATGCACGAGACAACCTGAGTGGGTTCGTGGAGGCAGTCACCATCAAGAAAAAGACAGGGAGGAGCGTGGCGGACTGGATAGAAGACTTCTACTTGAGGCATCCGTTCGTCAGGAGGTTTATAGCAGACAATGGGACGGAGTTTGTGAACCAAGAAGTATTGGGGATGCTTAAGAGACTCTGCGTACCGATCAAACTCATCGAGCCGTATCACCCTGAGGCCAATGCATCTGTGCAAAGGGGGCACCGAACCTTGAAGAACACGATTGCAAAGCTCGCAGCGGACCATCTGGGGAACTAGCCTAGGCATCTTAAGCAGACTGTCTTTGCAGAGAATAGGACCCCTAAAAGGACAACAGGATGTATCCCGGTAGAGCATTGGTACGAAAGAGAGATCGACTTTCCTGTGGAAGCCTTGGTACCTACCTGGAATAGGTTAGATGAAGATCCGCAAATGACCACTGAACAGTTAATCGAGGCAAGATGTCAACAAATCCTCAAGAATGAGGAGGTCATGAAAGACATCGCCAACCGGGTACTAGACAGCAGAATGAGGGATAAAACAAGGTGGGACCAGGTTAAGAATGTCAGAAAGGAGCCACTTCAAGTGGGAGAGATGGTATTGCTAAGGAACTCGGCACTAGAAAGTACTTGGTCGGGACAGCTGGGAAAGAGGTTCAAAGGCCCCTACCGGGTCGCCAAGCGGGTGGGACTTGACACCTTCGAACTGGAAGATTTGGATGGAACTGGATTGAAAGGACCCTTCCCGAAACAACGATTGGTCAGGTTTCTAAGCCGGGACCCAGAGGAACAATGGCTTTAGGAGGCCGAAGATAAGGAAACTGAGGGGCCACAAGCTAAAGACTGACCACAACCTTGCCCACACTATGGTTCGTCTCTGACCATGTTCATGAGACTGTCATTTTTTTGGGGACTGACGCTTTGGCTTTGACTGAAAGGCAGCGTGACTTGGGGGGTTGCAATATCTGGCTTGTGTGACAACGGGAAGGGATGTCTGGGGCATTGTACCATAGTTTTTGATGGAAAAACAATGGGGTCATCACGAACGACGCATTCACATGCATAATAGGGGCATGCTGTGAAGGATATTGGGAACATTCTGAGAAAAAGGGGGGGGACTACCTACCAGACTGAGGGAATGGGTGCATGCGGGGCTTTGCGGGTGTTGTTTTGTTATACAGGGTCTAAAGAAAAAGAGAAGATGGAGTTCGGTGACGAAAATGACAGCGGGGCAATCAACAGGCCTACCGGAGGGGAGGGAGCAGGACCAAGCCAAGGGAGGAGAGCGGCAAAGAGAAAGTTGTATATAGGACTCATGGGTGGCCCAGTGGTAGGCAGGGGCGGAAGGAAATGCTTGTGTAGGAAGAGGGAGGCAATACAGAGATGGGAAACAAGGTTCAGGTCTCTGACGAGGAAGGAGTCAACAGGGGCAAGCGACGTGAGACTTGGCATGGGGGAAGTGAGGGGGGACAAGACATGCGCGACAAATATGAGGAGGCTGAGGAAAGAAGAGAGAGCCCGCTTGAAGGACGAAGCAGCCACGACAGTTTCGAGGGGTATGGGACGGGGACAGAGATTCCTTTTACCTACGATCCAAAGAACCTTGCAGGTGAATATAGCCCCATACAGACAGAAGACGAGGAGGACGAGGAGGAGGATGTGCGAGAAGTCATAAAAATCAGCAGCGGGGATGAGAGGGACAAGATCTCGAGGCCTAGGGAAGAAGTGCGGTCTCCGATGCACCAGCCGGGCGACGGGGCTTTACGATGGGAGGACGAGTTTGGGCCAACGCCCAGTCATTGGTTTCAGCAATAGACCAATGTGATTAGGCACAAATGGATTATCAAGACTCGGGAACTCGCAAGGGCAGGGGTGGAAGCCACACCACTGAATTTTTTCAAGAAGGTAGAGTTACGGAAAATTGTAAGGATGAAAAGAGAAATCGAGGCCTACGGCCTGGGGGTTAGGAAGCCTGCCGAGGAACAAGGTGGACAAGGAACTGGGCAGGCAACAATATAAACTAGGTGTTGACTTAGCATTGAAAAGGATCGCTGCTTTTCTGTCTGTGGAGACATGAGAATGACGAAAACATGTACCGTATGGGCAAGCTTGCTAAGGATGAAGTGAAAGGAGGGTCAGCTAAGGCTGTGTCACGATAAGATAGAAGATAGTTTTGAGGCTACTTTTTGGATGAGCTACCTTAGGTACATAAGACAAAGACATGGGATTTAGGAAGAGACTAATTGGGAGAGGGAGTATTGTGAATTCAGGACGGAATAAGGATTATGCTTTTGAGAGGGGAAAACCTTGAGTACGGATTGACGAGCGAACCACGACATTGAATGATTGGTCGAGTACGAGAGAGGTTAGGGAACCTGTGGAAAGGAATGCCCCTAACAAGGCTGTTCGACTTGAAAATGGAAAAGAATGGCCCTAACCAGGCTGTTCGACTTGAGAATGGAAAGGAATGACCCTAACCAGGCTGTTCGACTTGAGAATGGAAAAGAACAACCCTAACCAGGTTGTTCGGGAATGACCCCTGACAAGGGTCATTCGTTTTGAAATAGGCACTGGGGTCTCCTGCATATTTGATTGAGAAAGGTCGATTGAGAATGTGCTGGAATGAGCAATAAGAGATGGAAAAGGCCGATGAGTCGGTCATTGAAATAGCCAAAGGATGGATGAGAGAAATGGAAAAGGCCGGTGGGTCGGTCATTGAAATAGCCAATGGATGAATGGAAGAGATGGAAAGGGCCGGTGGGTCGTTCATTGAAATAGTCAATGGGATGAATGGAAGAGATGGAAAAGGTCGGTGGGTCGGCCGCTGAAATAGCTATGGGGGCGGAAGAAAGGTATGAATGAGAAGGACAGGATAAAGAAGGCGGAGCCTTAAAACCGAGAAGGGCAGGGACCGTTGGGACGGTCACAGAGATTGGGTGCTGAGGAATGAGAGAATTTAGGAGTGAATGGGCGGAAGGGACAGTCTTGAGAAATGACTATTGAGAAAATGACCGTCAGACCGGCCATGTGGGTGGCCTTGTTGATGAGAGGCTGTCGAACCAACCATGATAATCAGCCTTGGAGTAGCATGGGATTGAGTGTTTTGAAGATTAAATATTGCATTGCATAGCCAGGGGACCCTAGGCAACTTGATGTGAGGTCGTCGGGCTGACCATGGAAATAGCAAGAGATTGAGCTTTCTTTTTTTCTAGTCTCAGGTCTCAACATAAAGGGGATAGCAATGCCTGCATCGCGACCCCAAGACCTCTACCCGTTAAGGGAAAAGTCTCAGCGCGACCTGCTCCTCATAAGAAGGAATAAGGGTTGAAGGACCAAAGCACCTCTCTCTTTGATTGATGCTGGCCTTCCGGAACCAACCCCGACAACGAGCTCTAGTCGGGGAGTTCAAACTGCGCCTCATGTTGAAACCTAAACGTGAAGGGCGTGGTGCCAAATGGGCGAGAGAGCCATTCTTTTTCCTAAGTCTTATTTTTTCTCCCCAGCCACACGCCATGCCGTAGAGGGGCGGCACGACCTTTTGGAATGGACCACGACCGCTCGCGTTAAGTTGAGCAGCACTTTCCAAAAGGAGGAATCGGGCGTGGTACCGGATGGAAGCCACAACCACCACAGGGCGAGTAACATCGCTCTGCCGGATCATTACAACCGTTCTGGGACTAACCGCGAGGTCTTCGTAACTGCACTCGTAGACTAATAGAGAGCCCCAACTCTCTTGAAAGGAAGAGGCCGGATCCAAGAAAACACCGCTCGAGAGGAACAATTCGCGAGAAAGCACTTACGGCAAGATGGGGTCCTGGGAGGCTTGGAGTGGACCTACCTTCCAGATGTGGGGTGGTACCTCAGTAATGACGCCGGTCTCGTAAGCAACAAAAAGTCGGACTTGAGTAGGGGATGAGGTGAGTTATCAGCAGGGGGAGGACTGATCACCCTTCCTTTGTGGGGCGGATGGGCCGGCATCCGTCTACTCAGCTGGTGGGCCAAGGTCTGCGTACCTCCGAGAGGGAACTAGTCGTGCGATGGGGACATAACATTTTGAGTGGGGGGAAGGTGTGCCATCTACCGAAGAAAAATCGTGCAAAAGAGAAGCATACCATGAGCGTAAGAATGAATGAGTAATTGACTTTGCGCAAGCTTGAGAAAAGGCTGGCAAGATGTCCAGAAGAAAAGAATGGATGAGTAATTGACTTTGCGCAGGCTTGAGAAAAGGCTTGGCAAGATGTCCAGAAGAAAAGAATGAATGAGTAATTGACTTTGCGCAGGCTTGAGAAAAGGCCTGGCAAGATGTCCAGAAGTGAAACGGATGAATAATTGACGTTGCATGAGCATGAGAGAAGGCCTGACAGGATGTTCAGAAAAGAAAAATATGTAAAATTGGTTTTGCGTAGACCTAAGGAAAAGTCTGGCAAGATGCGCAGAAAAGAGATACAGGTATAATGAATTTTGCATGAGTATGAGAGAGGCCTGGCAAGAGGCCAGAAGAAAGATGTGAATAAGAAGACAGAGTAACACGCATTTTTAAGCCTGGATACGAGAAAGGACGAATGAGGATGACATACATAAGCTGGGCAAAATGACAT